AGCATAGCCTATGAACCTATAATAATGGATGGTCAATTGCAAAGGTTAAACATAATTAGCATAACCTATAAAGGCTATAATGCATTGTCAATGCACCCAAAACCCTCTTAGATCTCCATTCATTCCATCTCCTACATAATTCATGGTCAATACTTCCTACCAAATCCCAGTATTATAGTCTTGCATTTTATTAAAAGGAGTAGTTGACATTTTAAAATTAAAGTTTCATTTTGAGCATACTTAACACTAAAAAACATGCTAAACGTATTTAAATATCCGCACTTTATTCAGTCAATCTTTTTCTACCCACCCCACATTCTAATACTCCGTCCGTCTCCAATTTGATGACAAATTGATATTTACGAGCAGAAATATGTCTTACTTTTTTAAATTATTTTATTTATAAATTAGTATATATCAATAAGAAATAAAAATTACATATTAAAAAATTACGTTAAAATTTCTACAAAACAAGAGGTGACAATAATATTTTATTTTATCAAATAATTAATGAAATCGCGTATACAAATAAAAGTTATCGAGAGGATAGAAAAAAATTGTAATCAAATTGGGAACGCAGGGAGTATTAAAACATCGGAGGGGTTCCTATATATAACATTAGAATCTCATTCATAGGATGACCCGGGGCGATACGGTACCACGTTCGTAAAATTAACGGTTCCTAAATCCCTAACCTCCCGGTAAACTCCCACCACACCCCGACCCCAACACATCCCTCATCCCTTTTAATTGCACCCCAAAGTTAATTTTGGAGTCAATTTTGATCAAAATAAAAATAAAAGTAGAAAGGAAGAAAAGTGAGAAAGGGGATATCATGGTCTCAAAAATTAGTAATGGTTCCACTCACTGAGTCAAAGCAAAAGGAAAGGGGGTCCAATCTCCAATATTTACAGTGGTCTGTTTTCAAAAGGAAAGGTTGAAGAGGATTAAAAATTGCCCCTGCTACATTACAATAATGTCTTCTTCATTTGAGCTAACTTTCAAAATTTGCAACTTTCTTTCTTTCTTCTTCCATGTTTGTAGTTATTGTTGTTGTAGACACAGTAATAAATGTGAAACAAGAAAATAAGGAGCAGATGAAATGGTAAGTTCAGAACCTTGTCTCTTCCTGTGCTCCCACGTAGTACTATTTTTTTGTGCTAACTCTCGACATGAATGCAATGGGAACAGTGCAAGTCTTTATTAATTGTTTCTGTTTTTTTATTTTACTCCCTCCGTCCCGAAGTAATAGTTCAGTATTGACTTTTGGAACTGTTCATCTAAGCACTTTGACTCATTAAGTTTTTTCAATGTGTAAGCCTAAATATAATTATGTGTGATCTTGTTCGATTTGTCTTAACATATAGATTATCAATATAATTTCTATAATTTTTTAATATACAAATTACAAGATCAAATAGATTAAAGAAGTGTATTTGATAGTGTGTAAAAATGAAAGTGGACAAATACTCTGGGACGGAGGTAGTATTTTATAATTTGTTTTTTTTATTTTGTGCAATTTAGAAAGTTTGAACAGTCAAAAGGAGTAAGTAGAAATAGTAACATAGAAAAGGTGGAGAAAAAGGGGATGGGATGGGAGGGCGGCCTTTTCAAAAGGTTTGCAAAGCTGAAAAGTATGGGGGGCCTTTATGCATATATATTTGGCGTCTACTCTTTTGTTTTGTTGAAGAATTTAGCTGTGGTTACAAATGATTGAGTGAGTACTTCTCATAGAGGTTACAATAGGGGAATGCAAAATGGGGTATGTCATTCGTACATCAGGCATTCATAAATACGTACACAGACATGAAGAATCTGTGTGTGTCAGCGAGTGCTTGAAGTACAAATGCGGTACACTTAGGTTAATTCGTTACAATATGATGAAAGGTTTGTCCGTTTCAAAATGTTGCAACTTGAAAGGAGTGTCAACACACACACACAAATGTGTCTTTAAAATAGGCCAAATAATTACTTGAAAGGGGTACACTTAGCTATAATTTCAGTGTGACAAAGAAAATTTGATTTGATCTATAATAAAAGAGGATGTTACATTGAAAAAAAGAGAGATAGGTAGAGTAGTTATAGTTAGGTTTCATAGTTTCTTTTTCTTTTATAACCAATTTCTAATAGTAAAGTGATACAGCACAAAGGAGAGCCACACCCTAAAAGCTAGCTGATAAGGTGGGAGAACCCTTGGCTATATAAACTCATCACCAAATTCCCCATATAACCGGTGTGGGACAATAAAATCAGTCCGTATCATTCGACCCCCCATAAGGCCCAACGTCCTCGTTGGTCACGGCTACGTTGGTCACGGCCACGTTGGTCACGGCTGGTTTCACCAGGCCACCACTCCGTAGGCCACCACTCCGAGTTGGCTCTGATACCACTGTTAGAAGTTGTAACAATGGCCAAGAGAAATAGAAGAGAACAGGAGAAATAATAGAGGGAGAGTGGAGCAATTTTCTATATTTTATTCCAAAGGCCAACATAATAATTTATAGGGAACAATCCTAGTAATCAGGAAAAAGTTGCTGGAAATATGGGCATCCCCAATACCTCCACTATTTTAGCTAACTAAATCAAGACTAATTCAAATAAAGCTGATGTGCAATGCTGGAAATATGGGCATCCCCACTATCCCCATTATTTTAGCTAACTAAACCAAGACTAATTCAAATAAGGTAAATGTGCAAAGACTAATTCAATAAAGGCTAGATAAAAAAATGCAGCTGGAAATAAGGTGCAAAGTGTAATCCTCACTGGTTTGCACAGACATGACATAAAGTTCACCATTCTTGACGATTTCAAAAGAAAAAAAATTGCAAGGATCAAACCTAAATTTTGATTTGGGCATGGCATTTCTACTCAAAGCCGTTGGGCATGGTCACTGTTCATTTGCACGATTTGTTTTAAGGCACTATATATATTCTCGTACATTGTACCATGTCCTATGGGGTTGTTTTGGGGAGCTGATTTAACGTGTACATTAATCTCTATTTCTCTCTCTATCAACATTTGACTATCAAATCATTTAACACAAGCCTAAACTATCTCTTTGATAATATTTTGTTGGTGATTTTAGTGTCATCGGTTTATTTTGTGTAATTGGATTTACTTAGATCGGACAAGAATTTTAATAAACGTTGCCAAACGAGTTAGGAGGCGCGGAGTGCGCGCTCGTTCAACGATATTATAAATTCACTGCGGGGGTCCGGGGGCAGCAGCCCCTGGCTGGGGTGCCGGGACAGCTTGGAAATTTTTTATTTCGGACGTTGTTTCTTTATGAAAATCCTTAAGATTTTCATGATCGGAGTCCAAAACAGTAAAGGACTCCAACGAGTAGATAACGTCGAAATAGAGCCTAAAACCGCAGGAAACCTTTCGTTCAAACTCGCGCCATTCTTCTTCCTCGCGCGAACGTACGCGTACGTCTACGCGAACGATCATGTCCGATCTCAAGGATTTTCGACTCTATAAAATAGAGTCTCGTGGTATGGGTTGAGTGACTGATTTTCGAGTGCTTGTTCTCAATTAACGTCTTATCCGATTGAAGTATTTCGTATACCCCGAAATAACTTTGATCTGAAAGCGTTTCATACGCGATTCGTTATACTATCAAGTTCTTCGTTTAACACTGCTTCGCAGTGTTCTTCCTTATAGAATTCCAACATATTTCATGCATTTAGTTTTAATGTTTTGAAATAATTATTTAACAATGGAGTTAAACTTTAGCTAGTATTTTCAAATATATCTACACCATTATAAAATTATGTAAAACATTAATGTTAAAAACGTATTGTTCTCGAACTAGGCTTAAGTTTCCTAAGAAAACATAAAGAATTTTATAAGTTTTTATTTTGTGTATGTTTTCAACTATATATTTTAGTTAAATTTGTACTGAATAGTACTAAAACATATGTCATTTCCTAATTTAGTACTTAAACTTTTTCATTCCCCAAATAGTATTTGAATAATGTCTAATTTCGAGAACAATGTTCAGTGATGATGGACATTTAATTTAAACAATGTCCAATTGCGGTGAACATTTACTTGATAATGACCAGTGGTGCTACTTTGAAAAATAAAAATATATAATAATATAATGGGAAAATCACTGTGTTTTAATATTATTTAAGAAAATTTTCTTATATTCCGTATGTTATAGTGTTAGGTAGAAATACCAAATTAGTGGAGATTCTCCTCCATTTCACCTCATTCCAAAGAGAAAAAAATTCCTTCTCCTGTTAAACAGTGGAGTGCATTCTCCCATACTCCCCAGCATTACTTTATTTTACTACTGGAGTATTAATTTAAATAAAAATTATTCCTTTAGTTGTCTTTTTATGTTCAAATCTTATCATCAAAGCAATCACTACAAGAATTTTAGCTAATGGATGACATTCCCAACAAATTCCATACTAGAAAAAGACAAAATAACAGTTATTATTTATAATTAATTTGATTGCTAAATTAATAGCAGTACGTTCGCATTGACCACTAAGAATAATAAACTAACTATTCCTATTTAAAAACATTAACATAGTTACTAACTTATCCTAATTAATTATACACCTATTATATTTTCATTTTTCGTACTCACCATTCTTATCCTTTCAACTAGGATTGTAAAACAAATGAAACGAATATAAAATTTTATTTGTGTTTGAAATATAATACTATTATTCATATTCATATTCGTTTTTTATTCGAATAATTATTCGTATTCAAGTCCGAGGGGGTAACCCAAAATACGCATAATAGACCCACCCTAGACTCCACCAGCCATGTCAGAAGAGGTGCCCTACATGCACGACAGATGCACGGTAGGACGAAACGAGTAAGAACTATACTAAGGGTTGAAACAAGATTAGACATGTGCGTTGACTCAGAAGGCTCGATCAATATGAATAGTGTTTCAATTCAAGTTTATTAACAAGAATAAAATTTAATGATGCTAAGGGGATAACTTTGATACATATTTTAGTTACTAATACATCTCTAATTCCAACTTTTCATTAAAAACATCAAATTCATAAATTTATTTTTACATAAGAATTGAATATTCATGCCAATAACAAGTTAAAACTTCCCCTAAAACAACAAGTTAAAACTAATTTACAAAAATAAAAAGAGTGAGTGATAAAAACGTCCAACGAATGTGGGTTCACGACAGGTGTACCCCACAAAACCGTAGTGGGCCCACAGTGGCATCTAATCACGGGGAATGACCCATGTGACCTTCCTCAGAAAGTCAGAGCCTGTGACACAAACCCACCCCCTCTCTCCTCCTCCTCCCCCGGTACGGCCGCGCCACCTCCAGGACCGCCGCCGCCGTCTCCCCCACCAGCGCCTCCACCACGTAGCGTTCAATCTCCCCCACCATACCCTCTACCTCTTCATCCCTCTCATTCTCATCGGATTTCTTCAAGTCCCCGTCGATCAATGCGTCTATGTCTTCCAACACGTGGCATTCTCTGGAGGGCAGTTCCCGGATTTTAAAACAGAGTGCTTCCGCCAGGTCCGACCCGTTCATGGATCCCCGCCGGGATTTCAATATTCCGGCGAGTAGCTCGTCGGCCAGATGGAAGATCAACTTTCTGTCGCTCCGGCGCTTCAGGGTGGAGTGGTGGAAGAGTTCCATGTAGTGGAAAATGGAAGGATTTAATGGGTGGGAATAGGAATGCCATTTTGACGAGGTCACCGGAGTTTCTTTTTCGATCCCCGCACGTTTAAGTACTCTCTGTATGTACTCCAATTCCAGCGGCGGCGCGGCGGTGGTTGCAGCAGGGGATCTGTACGTTAGGCTCGGAGAACTAGATAACAGAGAGCCACTTTTCTGTACAAAAAGGACGGCCTTTTCCTGCTCAATCCACATTATAAAATAGGATATAATCATTTCACAAAAGAAGAAAGAATCGTTAGAATGATTGTGGGTGCTCTGTTTATGGACTATAGTATATACACATACCAGCTTTTGAACAGATTTTCCCTGCGCCGGCGACGGTCGTCGATCTTTCCTCATTACCGCCGGCAATATTGTCGGAACATTGTTGGGACTTGATAGTGGAGTTGCTCTCTTTACGCCCTTCTTGTTTTCTTGGGCTGTGTTTGCCGCCGGCCGGACGAACGTTTCTTCCTTCTGCGGCGGCGGTTTCCTTTGGCGAGTGTTTTTGTATGAATGTATGACTGCGTTGGGAATTTCTTGATGATGACATTTTGGCTTTGGAATGGTTTTTTGAGGCTGTTTGACGGGAGGGTCCTCTGTTTTTGGGGACGACAATAACCTCGGAGAGTGATTCTTGGCGTGGGGAAAATCGTCATTCGCTGCGACCTTCCCGGCGGATGGTCTATTCGGTTTGAGCAAGACGACCTGAGTACAAGTATCAAGAAAGCTATCTTGCCGGCGGTGTTCTCCGGCCGCCGTGTTCGTTATGTCTTGGCCAAATTTTCTGCTCTCTTTCAAATGCTTCACAATTCTTTTCACCCTTTTGGATGCTTCATCGTCTTCACCGCCCATCCCCACATTCTCTTTATTGATCTGAAGAGACAGCCTGTGGTGGTGGTGCTGGTGGCGGTTGCGGTGGTAAATCTCCACGTCCGACTTCCTATTCATCCACACTCGCGGCGTCTCTGGCAGAGACAGAGTGCCGGAACGGTGGAGGAGGTAGCGGGCTCTGTCCAGCCTCGAAGAAGAGGATAATGTTGAAGCAGGGGAGGAGCCACTGTTGATATTCTCCGGCAGAAGGTCGAGCCCCATCAGTCTCGCCACCAGATTCGGCGTCCGAGCTCCTCCCGGAGACGACGAGCTGCACTCCGACGACGAAAATTCACAGCTCGTCCTTATCTGATTAATCCCCACCTGCCCAAAAAAAATCAAATCTTTCAATTCCCATAATTATTTCAACTCCAGCAACAATAATTAATTCCATAAAATAATCAGAGTAAAAAAAAAAAGATTCTTGAATTTGTCTTTAGCCTCCTGGCCCCTGCTACGTGCCCCAAACATTTGCAGAGTTTCAATAATTCATGATTCTTCTTAGGATAAAATTGAGAAAGAAAAATAAAAAGGCAACGGTCACTTACAGAGACATTATTCAAAATTTTTGTTTCTTGTCCCTTTGGTTTGAAAGCCACATTTGCAGGCTTCAACACCATTATCTCCTCCACCTCCAAGCTGTTTCTTGGCGCTTCAACCCCTGCATTATCCAATCATTACCAATCTATAATTAATTATAGATTAATTTAACGTCCGAACACAAAAAGTCTTTTACAACCACAGAGACGAAAACTTATTACGTACCTTTAGGGGTTGGTTCAAAATGGTCGTCTTGTTGTTGGAGGAAAGAGGAGAGGGAGCGGTGGGGAGGCAAATCGAAGATCTGGAGAACCGCACACATGCACCCGGCGGTGGTGTTCGCCGGCGGCGGTTTTCTTGGGGATTCTCTCGTTTTCTCGCCGGAGGAAGACGATCTTCCCCCGCGGCCTCCCCAGCTGAACCACTGTCTGCCCATTGGTGTATATAAAGAAAGAAAGAGATAATAAGATAGAAAAAAGCTAAGAGTAGACGACTATACATATACATACATATACTCCATTATCTTCTCTTCTCTTTTTCTCTCTCTACTGCAATTCTTATGGTTTCACTCACTCCCAAGCAGAGAGAGAAAGTAAGATTAATTAAACAGTGGATTTGAATGACACCATACACATGCATACATACATATGTAATGGATGATGAATGGGGAGGGGAGCGGAATAAGCGCTGTGGGTGGGTGTTTTTTTTTTTGAATACGAGGTGGTGGAAATGGTAGTGTCTGTTTTATGGGATTTTGGGGGGTTTTTTTTTGTTTTTTTATTCTATATTTTTTTGAATGCTCCATTGTTCCCTCCACTCGTTTGACCATACACCCACCCCCAACCAACCATGATTTAATATCTTTCAACCACGGTCAATAATCTTCTCGCTAATAAAATACATTCCGTATTTTTAAATCAACTATTCTCTGAAAATCTTTCAGAAAATCTTTCTTTTTTTTAATCTTTCTCTATTTTTTTTCATCCGTCCCAAAAAATAATTCTCATTTTTATTAAAAAATCACTTTTACTCCTTACTTTTTCATATCATACCTATCACATCATACCTTTTTTACTAATAATCTATCCATCAAATCATACTTTTACCCATCACATCAAAGGACATTTTTGGAAATTCAATACCAAAATACACTCCCCTTAAATCCCTCTTCAAAATCAAAACATCCATGTTTTCCGGGACGGAGGGAGTATTAATTTAAAAACAATATTATACGTAAATAATCAAAGCAATAAATATTATTCGTAAAACTTTTTAACTTTTACATCTTCATTGTCTTATACTGTAATACATTTCAATTTTGGCTAAATGAACACAATTTCCTTTACTCTTCCTAAACCTAACCGAACGTATCTCAAGTCTCAACTACCTTCTACATCTTATCTATTTTGATATTTTCTGAAACCTACTCGTTTCAATTGTTATCGTTTATACTTCTTCCAAAAGTCAAAACATGATATGCTTAGCGAGACGGATGAAGTATGAAAGAAAACATGCCTCATGGGCACAACTCAAGCCTTGCTCACGAAGTCACCACATATAGTGTGGGGGTTCGAATCCTTAAAGCATTAATTTGAATTCTGCCTAGTGAGACTAGTAATGACAAAAACCAATTTTTTTCAAACGGAAAAAGACTTATGTATGAGTAACACATTAAAAATATACCAAAATAGGAGTTTCATATTTTTATACCCGAAATAAGAGTCAAAGTATATTTACATTACCAATCATGATCATGTACATGACCAAAAGGTATGGTAATATTCATATGTACAGTGTCACATTACCATAGTACGAACTCTTATTTAGGAAATAAAAACATGGATATTTTGATACTTTATCAATTATCTAATCCCATCTAGGGTGGCTTCTTTTTTTCAAATAGATACATGGTCAACAAGGGTATTTCCGTCTTTTCATTTGCTCCTTGCTGTTGGGATTTGGGAATCTCCCAAGCAATTCACCTGCCACAACCGGACACCAGCTCATAATATTTCGTTTTGGGCTTTACCCCAAAAACTTTAAACGGCTTTGGGCCCTTTGAACGTACCGAATATGTCCAGTCATTACTCCCCGAAATATGTAAAGGCCTTACTCCCTTTTAGTAAATCTGTATTCCGACCTCCTCACATTTTTTAACTCTCTTAAACAACTATTCAAAGTAGGAAAGTTTAAATAATTATATAATTTTTAAAAGTTAATTTTTAAATAACCATTCAAAGTAGGGAGTATTATATAATTTTTTAACTCTCTTAAACAACCATTCAAAGTAGGGAGTATTATATAATTTTTAAATAATTATTGGTCAAAAATTAATTCTGATTGACTGTAAAAGTTTTAAACATGAGAAACATTTTAAACATGAGAAACATGTTAGGACGAAAAGGGTATTTTAGAAAAGATAGACTCTCTATCAACAAAAGACATACTAGTATTAAAATATTTGCTACAGTAATAATAATTATTAATGAAAATGTAGAATTATAACACATTGTGTTTCTTACTCTATCAGTTCTTAATTTAAATTGTCTGTTTATTATTCACATAGTCAAACTTTAATTACCTTCTTTACTCATCGATAAAGTAATATAGTTATGTCACCTCTTGTTTTATAGAATATGTAGTTTTTAAATATTTTATTTTTATTATTAATTCTACTCTAATTTTCATATAAGTTCATTTAAAAACAAGTGCAGTCTACAGATGAACACCGTAATTAACAAGCAACTTAAAATGGGACGAAAGTATAATTCAATCAAAAGGATAAAAAGTGTACTTTTATTAACTTTCGTGATGCAATTCTTTGATCATTTAGGGTTTGTGGGGGCTCGATTTGAGTCAACTCGTATCTTTTTAGAGCCTAAATTATGGAAGTGGATTAAAGAAGCAGTTGGCCCGATTTTAATTTAAGCGCATCTATATTTTTTTAAAGAACAAGATTGTACCCATTGCTAGGCTCTCCCTCTAAATATATGACTTATAGTTGTAATCTTTGGTGAGACATGATAAATGAATGGGTCATGCTACACTTACACCACATATTGTACCCTATTTGTACACCGCAGGCATACATAAACATTTTGATGGTTTGCACCGACACAAGTGTTGGTGCGTTAACAAAAATTTACACGGATACAAAGTGTTTGTGCATTACTAAAAATTGGTTTTACACCAACACAAAGTGTTAGTGCAAACCTGCGGGGTACAAAGTGGGGTACAAAAACATGGGGTACAAGTAGCCCTAAATGAATTGAAATAAGAGTCCTCTTATCGCGGCCGTGAATTTGAAAAATCAAACAATGTAAATTCCGTGTGTGTCTTTTGTGTTCCGCTTCACTCTTTTACACAAATTATGTTTGTGTTTTGCGTGTTTATTTTCTAAAACGCGGTATCAAATCAAGATTGTTCGACACGAGAATACATATTGCAAGAAATTGTCACTAAAGGTTCTTTGAGGTGAAGAACCATGCATTGCCACAATAACCACACACGCCACCGCTAGTTTAGGTCGCCAAGGATTTAAGATCGGAGGCCAGAAGCTAAATTATATTCTTCTCCTTTTGACTTATCGAAATTAAGGAAATATATTTTTTATGGAAAAAGCTAGATGTATCTCAGGCAGTGTATACCAAGTGTATACTACCCTTGTCACAGACACACACACATACAGTTGGTGTCTGCTTGTCTCTGTGAGTTGTGGCAAGGGTGGTGTACAATTGGTATACACCTCCTGGAGTACACCTAGCAGGACTCATTTTATATTTAACTTTTTCAAATTATCCTTGATGCAATGGATAGATTGATACTGAAAAATGTGATGTGCTGGATATGACAAGATTTAATAATACTCCATAGTAAAAATGATTCTTTACTAAAAAGTAGAAAAGTTTTTTAAACAAAAAAAAATAAAAGAGGATAATCTGGAGATTATATCATCAAAGTAGAATAGAAGGAACATTGGGGCACACATGTACAGAATCTACAGATGGAAGATTAGACTTGTTTTTTATTTATCACGCAAATTAAAAATTCATCTTTTTTATTTTATTTTATTTTATTACAGTGACATGATTAAACGGGAATGAGAAGAGGGAGAAGAAGCAGGACAAGGCAGCTAGACGTACTGGGAGCAATGAATATTATATTTGAATTTATTTATTTTGTTTGTTTTTGCTTATGTTTGGATCATTTGTGAACAAAATTTGAAATTTCAAAAAAGAGTGGAATTAAAAAAAATAAATGTGGAATGACACGTGATAACCTGATGAAAATGTTGTTGGATGGTCGCCCGTGTCTGGTTTGGTACGTTTGAATTTTTTTAGTAGGGGTTTTCGTTCAGATATCTAATTTGATCCAATTTTTTGGATATCTGAAATTTTTAGATCGATAAATATATATTCCATGTCCGGTCCGAAAATTACTGAATGCCTAAATTTTGGATATCTGAAATTTTGGATCGAATCAATGGAATATCCGGAAAAAATTATTTTGTTTAGAATTTTTAGTTTTTACAATAATTCTAAAAAAAGTATTTAGAATGATTTTTTATTTGTTAAAATAGTAGATGTCATAATTTAGACTTGAATTTGAAGCCAACTCTATTTTAAATGTCATAAATACCTTGAGAGTATTATCATAAGTCATAATTTTATAAAATGTATAAAAAAGAATATTAACATAATTGATAAATAAAACATTGAAAAAAGACTAAAGTAAAAAACTTGAATTAAGCTTAGATTTAAATATTCATGATGATGAAATTGAATTGAGCTTAACTTGTCTAAACTTTATTTTTATATTTATTTTTTTTGAAAATATGAACTTCGGATATCCACGAATATCTAAATCTTAATATGTCACTCGTATCCGATCCAAATTTTTTCTGATATCTAATCCATACTCTCTCCGCCCATTTTAAATTGCCTGTTTGTCTTTTTTCTTCGTCCCAAAATAAGTTGCCTGTTAGTTGTTGTCGTAAACTATTAAAAATAAAATACCTAAACTACCCTAAAATAAATCAGTCTTCTTTACTTTATCTTCTAATTCATCGCCACCCATCATAAAAAGTAATGATAATTTTGAAAAATCAACTTTATTTTTTCTTTTCCTTAAATATGCCCAAAATTCAAAACGGACAATTTAAAACGGGACGGAGTGAGTAGTATTCAAAAGCAAAACTATCAAATCGGATATCCATTTTCCGGATCCAATCGACCCGGATCATGAACAATTGAATAGATATTTGAGATCTGGTATTTTTGAACACCCCTAGTTTTTGGTAAAAAATTACTATCCCTTCACGTCATCTACTTCCTCCGTCCCAAATTATTTGTCACATTTCTATTACCAAGGTAAAATATCAAGTTTTTTAATTTATTTTATTTACATATTGGTAAAGAAATAAAAAATAAAAATTACATATCAAAAAACTACATGAAAAGT